TGAGCAGTAGAGTCCCCATCAACATACTGGAGCATTAGGAGGACCCACACAGACAGCGGGTTGAACGCCCCCCTGATGGTCTCACTAACACAACTCCATGTGAGAGTTGCAGAGCTAGTTTCCAGTGACACCAGTGACATGAAAAATGCATTTTACAAAATGTCTGCTGAAATGCATCCAACCACATGTTGATTATCATGGTATACTCACTACATAAAAAAAATCAATTTATATTCTAGTTTTGTTTTTGTTTTTAAAATTGTTTTACAATAAAGGAGATCACACTAGTTGCAAAGAGCAGGAAAAAAGAGGAAAAGCCCAAAAAGAGTCCAAAATGTTTCTGGAAGAATTCTGCCAGAAAAGCAGAACCAAACTCCTGCTCCGTTACATACATCATACCAGACAGCTCTTAATAGAGAATGTCTGACCCCACACTTCCAGAGCACCCTCCACAGAATGTCATGATGAATATAATTGAATGTCCGTCTCCAAGTTCACAAATCACATGTGGACTGGTTGGTCATTCTCCCATGGACCCATAGAACCCTAATGAGGGTATAAAGCTGGTCAGGTGTACCAATGAAATCTGCATTGTTCTTTCTGGATCAGAGGTTCAACCATTGACCGGATCCTCCTCTCCAGGTCTCTGGCATAGTCTTTTACATGCAGGGCGGTTTAGTTGGAACACACCTTCCAGTCCCCCTCTTTAAATAAAATGAACCACCACTCAGTTACCCAGTCCAGATGGACTGTCCCCAACCTCCACGTGATCTTGACCCTTACAATACATTTGGGGCTGCCAGGTCTGGCCTCCTCCTCTGCCAACACATCCAAAGTTCCAAAGTCACACAGGCTGAACCCTGATCAAAATGTCTAACATGTTAGCATTCATAGTTTTTTTTTTTACAATAATACAGAACACTCATGCTATTTCTGCAATAACAAAATAAATCACAGAAGCAATATGAGGCATATTATTGTAGAGTATGCTAAAGTGTGGCTAAAAAAAGACTATATGGTGTGTAAGGGTATGTAGGGATTAGAGGTGTGTTTTTATGCACCTTAAAAAAATGAAGTAATGTCTGGAATGATAGCTGCAGTTGGCATTCTCTGTCATGTTGCCCCATACAGTGTTAATGAGCAGTGACAGGTTGTTTCACCAAGCATCTTGTGGTTTTTAATGTTGAGTAAATGAAGACAGACAAAGCAATCATGCCTGAGGGCATTGTCAAGCAGACACACCTGACTATATGCATCATACAAAATGTTTTCAAGTCTTCTTTTTTTCCCCCTAAACGGTCCACTTAAGGAATATAAAAGGAAGCATAACTTATGAAAACTGACACAGTAGCTGCGTCCCAAATGGCACACTATACACTATGCACTCATGCACTATGTACTTATGCACTTACACACTCAACAGGATAGTATATATATGTAGTGCTGTCCCAAATGGCACACTACGGTTTTGTACTAACCGGAAATTAAAATCGTCACTGGCGAATGACGTTACGTTTGTAACGTAATATTAGCTATCCAAATGGTACCAGTAACAACAACAAAAGTTACGAGAAGAAGACGTAATCGTCGTCGTTGGATATTTTTGCTCGCACAGGCAAAAATAAATGCAGTAAGTGACGGTGGTGAAGGTTGAGCCATCATGGCTGATGGATATGTAAACATGAGTATAGTGCCTCGCAGAGGAGAAACGTAGCAACAGCCTGTATTGTAATGCTAATGTAGAAATGTACTTATTTTCTTGACTTCATATTCTTTACAGTATTACAAACAAAGGCAATTGTACCCAAACTTAAACATAAGATAACTTACATTAACTTGTTTAATTTCAAAGGTAGCATAATAACATTAAATATGCAAGTTAATAGCTATTTTCCCATAATTTTAATATTTAACAATGCAAACATTAATATTTCAAAATTTTAATTCAGTACTCATTTTCATTTCAATTCAGGTGTGTAAAACTGTATTTTTGGGATAAAATAACGCACTGACTACCATTGAAAAGACCACTTGTTTTTATTGTATACATTCCAGTCAGCACAACAACAAAAAAGAACATAAATATTGAAATATATCTGTAATATATACTTTGTTCTTTCATTTTAGAGAGAGAGGGCAAACCAATACTGCCAGCTAAACAACACTGTTCCTCTTCTGGCAACCTATTTTGATGGTGTCAGCTGATCTTCGCCCTGATTTTCGTCTCTCTCGCCAGTCATTCAACAGTTTGATGACAGCTTTGGGTGAAGAAAGCGACCATGGCTGGGGTTCAGTTATGGAGACACTTATGTTTTTGTTTTGGTTGGCAAGCGCCACATCTTATCGTGTTGTTGCTCGAGCGTTTGCCATCCCTCGCTCCACTGTCCACAGAGCCATCCACAACACTAGTAAAAAAGTTCTGCGCATAATGAAAAAGGTCATAGCTATCCCTTCTGGTGATGACCTACCTTCATTAGGCAATGAATTTGCCAGGCTTGCTGGGTCTGCAGTGTTCAACAAGGTGGTAGGCAGCATCGATGGATGTCATGTGCGCCTGAAGCCACCATCAACTGATTCTCTCTGCTACTTAAACAGAAAATTATTTCATTCAATACAGTTCCAAGCTATCTGTGACCACAAAGGCAAATTTTTAGATGTGTTTGCAGGGTTCCCTGGGTCTGTTCATGATGCCAGGGTGCTAAAACACAGCCCCATATACTACCAGAGGCTTTATCCTCCCCCTGGGTGGTGTATAGTGGGCGATGGAGGATACCCCTGTCTGTCCCAGCCTATCAAACTGATGACCCCCTACAGACACCCTCTACACACACCAATCCAGCAGGCTTTCAACCACCACCTGTCAAAAGCACGCTGTGTTGTAGAGCGGGCTTTTGGGGTTCTGAAAACAAGGTGGCGCTCTATCTTTTTGAAAGCCCTTGAGATTGACCCCCTTTATGCACCAGAGGTTGTGGCCTGCTGCACAGTTCTGCATAACATCTGCCTAAACAATGGAGACATCATGGATCCAGATGAGATGGATGACAGTGTTGATGAGGATGAAGCTGTTGTGGAGGCAGTGGATGCAGTTTGCGGGGCAGAAGACAGAGACAGAATGGCAACAATGTGTTATGCTCCAGCACTTGCAGACCATCTATACTTCAGGATCCACTAACTGATAAAATGGGGAAAAAAAACAATGAAATGAAGTTAAAAAATGTCTGTATGTACAGACTGATAAAATGTTTATAAAGAAGTGTATTTCATGACAGTTAGTTACTGTAAATAGTTTAAACTTAACCACAACTCTAACCAAAAAACACTACATGAGTAATTGAAAGTACTTTTATTTAACAACATGGAACACATGTAAGTGAGATTTTTTTTAAATGCTTTTACATGCATGAACTTACAAATAAAACAAAATCAAAATGACTTTTCCAAATTAAACAAATATTAATACATTTAAATACATCTATTTATTTATTATTGACAAATTTTTCAAGAACAGCCAGAAAACGGCTTTCTCTAGCTGCCATCTCCCGGTCTCTCCTGTCTTCCCTCAGCTGAGCCTCTCTCTCTCTCTTCTCCTCTCGCTCTCTGGCCTCTCTCTCTCTCTTCTCCTCCCACTCTCTGGCCTCTCTCTCTCTCCTCTCCTCCCGCTCTCTGGCCTCTCTCTCTCTCTTCTCCTCCCGCTCTCTGGCCTCTCTCTCTCTCTTCTCCTCCCACTCTCTGGCCTCTCTCACTCTTCTCTCCTCCCTCTCCATCATCTCTCGGTCCAGCCTTTCATCCCTTTCCTGCATTTCACGAAATACTTGCACCAAAGTGTCACTGCCCTCTCGTTGGCGCCTCCTTTTAGAGGCAATAGTTTGTTGCTCCCCCTCCTGTTCAGGAGTCACCAAAGAGGGAGATGAGAGCACTGTCACAGCCTGGGAGGATGAGGCAATGAGGACAGGTGGAGTCACGGATGGCCTTCCACCAATTGCCTCATCCATTAAACTGTACCACTTCCAGGATGCAGCAGTGCTCTCACCCCCCTCAGTGCTGACTCCTGTTTTGGGGCACTTTAGGTCCTGCATAAAAACAATGAAAAAGATTTACAGCAGTGGTTCTCAATAACATTTCTGTGGCACAACACATCTAACGGTTAACTACACAGTATAACTAAACAGTATAATGTCTCACTTTTTGTATAAAATGGACTTAACGTTCCTTTTGGTACCCATTTAGAAAACTTATAAGCAATCTTGTAATCTTTACAAATATGTATATGTATATATATATATATATATATATATATATATATATATATATATATATATATATATATATACACACACACACACACACACACACATATAAACAGACATATGTATACACACACATACACACGTGTGTGTGTGTGTGTGTGTGTGTGTGTGTGTGTGTGTATAAACATGTAAGTACCCCTGCTAGCAAAACTGTCCAGTGCATTCCCTTAAGAAATTACATTCAATGATCTAAGCAGTCTTCACTAAACAACAATGGGCAATACATGAGAACTTTATAACAATAGGTAAATACTGAATAATCATGCTATTACCTTATATTTTTGTTTGAGGTTCTCCCATTTTTTTTTTGGCCCAGGAAGAGGTTACTCTCCCCTCCAGGCCATACTGGGAGATAAATGCCCTATACAAACACAAACAAGTATGTTTTATAGCATCACTCTTAAAATTATTAGCATTTCATGCATACTTACTCATATCCCTTTGTTGCCGCGTTTCGACGGCCTGTAAATAGGCCGTCATTTGCAGCCAGGGATTAAAGTGAAAAAAATTCTTGTGACTGAACTTTTTTCAGGCCAAGCCATATTCCTAAAACCAAAATTTTATTTAAATAGCCGAGACCAATAGCGTTTTAAGGGGAGATTAAACCGCTTTAATGTTGCCAGTTTGCATATTTTAAAAGCTATCTTTGAAAAATATATAACTTGACAAATAATCAACCATCTACCACACATCTTTTCAGTGCATGTTTTTATTTATCTTATAACACCAAATGTTTGGTGAAACTCATATTAACAGAAAAAAAGTAATAGCACCACCATTAAATTCAAAATAGAGCTTTTTCAAAAAGTGTTTTTTTCAGTGCATATTTTTATTTATCTTATAACACCAAACAATGTTTTGTGAAACTCCTAATAATGAACAGAAAAAAAGTAATAGCATCACCATTAAATTCCAAAAAGTGCTTTTTCAAAAAGTGTATTTTCAGTGCATGTTTTATGTATCTTATAACACCAAACAATGTTTTGTGAAACTCCTAATAATGAACAGAAAAAAAGTAATAGCATCACCATTAAATTCCAAAAAGTGCTTTTTCAAAAAGTGTATTTTCAGTGCATGTTTTATGTATCTTATAACACCAAACAATGTTTTGTGAAACTCCTAATAATGAACAGAAAAAAAGTAATAGCATCACCATTAAATTCCAAAAAGTGCTTTTTCAAAAAGTGTATTTTCAGTGCATGTTTTATGTATCTTATAACACCAAACAATGTTTTGTGAAACTATTAATAATTAACAGCAAAAAAAAAGTAACAGCACCACCACTAAATTCCAAAAAGTGCTTTTCTTGTCCAAATGCCTCTAGAGTGCTTTTCACTTTTTCTGCTTTTTGGCTGTAAAACCATATTCCTGAAGCTTGGCTACACCTGAAACCCGTTTTAGTGTTTGACTAGCTACATGTGCAGGAGTGGCTCCAGGAGAGGTGGAGGAGGTGGAGGCTGTAGCAGCAGATTTACCTTTAACTCCAGCAGTGGAGGAGGTGGAGGCTGTAGCAGCAGATTTACCTTTAACTCCAGCAGTGGAGGAGGTGGAGGCTGTAGCAGCAGATTTACCTTTAACTCCAGCAGTGGAGGAGGTGGAGGCTGTAGCAGCAGATTTACCTTTAACTCCAGCAGTGGAGGAGGTGGAGGCTGTAGCAGCAGATTTACCTTTAACTCCAGCAGTGGAGGAGGTGGAGGCTGTAGCAGCAGCTATTCGTTTAACTCCCAGGGTGGAAGAGGTGGGGGCTTTAGCACAAACATAAGAGGTGGAACCTTTCTTTACTTTTCTAACCCTAACTTCTGAGAGAACCTTCACAGCTTCCCTCAGTTTCCTTTCCTTTTGATTGTCAAGGTTCACCTTCTTTTTCTTCAGATGATTTTGGTATGTCTCATAAGAAGACAGGCAAAATCTCCTTAATGCAGGGGTAATTTGCATTTTAGATGCAGTTTTGCCCATTACCTTCATGTTGGACTTGAGAATGGCTAAACCTTCATAAGTCTCAATGTTCAGCCTAACCCTGTCTTTCTCAATTATATCATCCATCATGTTAAATGATCCTTCTACAAGAGGGCCAGTGAACAATGACAGAAGAGCCTTTACCAACTTCCCTAAGATGGGGAACCTCGTTCCTCCTCCTGTCATCTTCATGGCAAAAATCTTACTCCACCAGTCAACATCGATTCGTGCATTGTTCTCCTCAAAGCATTTGGCCTGTGCTCCTAGATCTGTATTAATCTGGTAGGCTCGAACCTCTTCATCCAGTTGACCCAACTCTTCTGACTTCACAGCATTTGGCAAGGCCTTGGCCAAGGTGTTGAATGCACCTTGGACTGATTCGTGGAGAATCAATGATGGTGTCAACGCAGATAAAGAGGTGATGATGATGTTGTTGAGGGGCAGGTTTTTCAGGAGGAATGTTGCTGCCTTTATGTAGCCTTCTCTGAGAGAACTGTAGAGCTTCTGCACCCAGGGCTTCTTTTCCACTCTAGCCTTGTTTAAGGCAAAGAAGCTGAATCTTCCCACAGACAACCTTTTGTCAGTGTACTGCATGTCTCTCTGGTGAACATTAAGCTTCAACAAGCCATTTGCACTCAAAGGGATAGTTTCAGGCTTCATAAATTTGGAGAGAAGTTCCCTAACCAGCAGTAGCATTTCAGCATGCAGCACATGAATCATGGGCTTTTCATGTTGCAACTTCTTCAGGAACACCTGGAAAGTTGGAAGTACACCTAAAAATCACAATAGAACCAGATTAGAAATGGGTCTGTATATTTTATTCATTGATTAATTATCACATTCATAGCAATGTAACATACTCTTCTTAGAACATTACAACCCTTTAATATTATTTTCTAGATTTGTTATTTCCATTTGTATTATTCAATTGTCTAGTTTAAATTACATCAGTCCTGACATGTTTTAAATCTGGTTAATAAGTCCGTAACTTTGTTTTTGAAAACTGCTGTATAAATAGTTTATTATTAGTAGTAGTAGTATTAACCAAAGTGATCTGATTAACAGTGATCTAAAAACTATTTATAGTTAACTCAGATTCCATTCAAGGATTCCAAGAAAAATAAGCATATAATAAATATAGCAATAAAGGGATTTCAATAAATAAGAAATCTCTGTACTTTTCTTAACACTTAAAGTGAATAAAAAGTGAACATACCTCGATACAAATCAATAATGGTTGTGAGCTTGTCGAACTCGGAAAAAAGCATACAGATGCGTGTCTTTCGTTTTTTGTTGACATCACTTCCTATCCTCGCAGATTTTGCTATTTGCTGTTGCAGACATATTATCCTGGCCTTCTCATCAGATGTAACTGCATGCTTATCAAGAAGCTGGTTCAGGAGCCATCTGCATCACAAAATTATAATATACAAATAAGGATTAAGGAGAAAAAATAGACAATGCTATTTCTAATTGCCAATACTTCAACAGTCATGACATAATTTTTGAGTTTACAGGTCAAGACTCATCCTTTTTTCTATATAAAGATTATTTAATAATTTGATAGCATCTGGAATAAAGCTGAGCTTCACTGTTCTAACATATTTAACCCTTTGAGTCACTGTATCTATAACTTTATATACATAACCTGATTGATCACTGAGGCATCGCCACCCCTTGGTTTAGATTTGTTATGTAAAAAAATCCAGTAAATGTCTGCATCTTTAAATATTATTAATAACAAAAAAGTGAGTGTGTATATATATATATATATGTGTGTGTGTGTGTGTGTGTGTGTGTGTGTGTTTATTTATATTACTTTTTTAGGACCAAATGTCCCCTCATGGATAGTAATACCGGGGATTTTTGATGTTGTGGGGCCCTTTTTGTGGGCCCCACGTGGGAAATAAAAGGGGAAGGGGATAGAATATACAGTTTAAACAGTAAAAAATACATTATGCCTATGGAAGGGCCCCACAAAGATATCACCATAGACCTGTGCGTGTGTGTGTTTTATTAAAGAGCCAAAAAAAGCCTACTAGTACAGAAATAAGATGATACAAAAATAGAAGTACCTGTGTTTGTGTTGATCATGAGAAGACAGGACGCTGTAGAAGTGCACGGTCAATGGATCCATAAGGTCCCGTATTCTGTTGCACACATCTAACATTTGCAGGAACCTGCTGCTGATGGGACGTATTACGCTCTTATTCTCCAAATGAAGTAAGGACTGGAACTCAGAAAAAATTTCTTTCTGTTTGGGTGATTTTTCAATGTCATAGTATACATCAGAGCAAAATTGTTCCACAAATCCCTGGAAAGTATTTAAAAGGGCCTTGGCTGCATTCGAGACCATATGGACAGTGTCTCCGCTGACATCCAGCAGTGATGGATTTTCTCTTCTGACTAGTGTCTCTACTCCAGACTTTTTCCCTCTCATCACACTGCAGTTATCCAACAGTATACCAACAACCTGATTCCAGTTCAGGCTATATGACTGGAGAATATCTGTCAATGTGTTTGTGATTGATAAGGCATCTGCGATATTCAGTTTCCTCGAGGCTAGATGCTGGGTTGCCACTTTTCCCACATCTTCATCATAGTACCGAACAAGAACATTCAGAATCCTGTCCATGTTTCCATCTGTTGCCTCATCTACATTTAATGAGAACATCTTCGTTTTCAGCTTAGATGACAATTCGGACTTCCAATAAGCAGCAATACCATGTGTGCACAAGTAGGAGGCATGTGCATTAGACATTGACAATCTTGAAAGTGCACTCTTGTCTTTGACAACTGACTGCATCAAATTAACTAGCGGTTGTGAGATTGTGAACGACAGGTCATGCTCCGCTATGAAAGAACATACGCGCACTTTTACATCGCACACACGGTCGGCCATAGATGCATGAATCTCCGTTGTGGTACTTGTCGCACCAGGCAGGGAGCAAGTGTACTGTAGAGCACGAACGGCGGCATTGTGACTGGCTTCTGACTGATGGCGAGCTAGCACTTTTTTGCCATTACTGCCATATTGAAGTTTCCTGTGGCATACTGTGCAAAGACACGTACCTGGTTGTTTAATTTTTTTTGCCCACGAACTAAAAGGCTTGCCATTCTCCCCAATTTCGCTAAGCCAAGCCCATCTCCATTTATTTTTTACACTTTTTTCGATCTCCGAAACATCGGAGCCTTCCTGCATTATAAATGGGTCCATGCTATCTTAAATATAAATAACTTACCTCAGCCGTAGCCTGACATGTACTTCTCTGAAACTATACCAAAACCCGGAGTGGATCCATAGCGGAGTGATGCTAAAACGCTTAGAGTGGAGAGAGGAACGTGCATTTGCTCCACTCCAGGCTTTGATCACAAAATTTTTTTCCTCCTCAGCAGGCTGAATACACTTCTTTTCTTAATTTAAGACCTATTCAAACTAAAATTAAGACATTTATTACACTATTTGAGAAATGCCTATATTTACAGCATTAAAATTAGGAAAAGAGCATGAAAAAAAATTAAGAACAAGCGGAACACTGTAATTGACGGAAATCCGTCAATGACTCGCTCCAATTGACGGAAATCCGTCGTAACGACGGAGAACTTTAATCCCTGCGCAGCACGCCAAGAAATAAGGTTGCGTGTGTCTTCCTCGGTCCCTTTGAGAGATTTAACAAACCACTTATCTGAATAACAATTATCAACGAACAATATGTGGCTCATAATGCGCATACGTATAAAGAGAAATCATCTGAATATGCTTCAAAAAAGTGTCGTTCAAATTATGACAATAATGATTTATAATTCAGCTTACATTTATAAGATGTGTTATCGTCCGCCATCTTCCAACAACTTGTGCATACAACCTTTGCCCCGTAAGCCCCTCCTCTTCCGCAACGTAATCAAATCTGCGACCGTTGAGTGCGTGAAGTGTCCAGCATTCCACACTTCTTTTTAATGGTCGATTAAGTGCATCATCCGGGTATTTGAAGTGCACTTACATTTTTGACAACTTTCAGTGTGAACGCTCTACTTATACTTGTTATACTACAAAATGGCGTAGAATAGTGCACAAGTATGCGATTTGGGACGCAGCTTATATTTTCTTTATTAGAGTAAAACTGGTCAAATGAAATGTGGTGTGACTGTTTTTTACACTCCCAGCATACACATTAAAAATGTATACATCCCTGTTCATTTTACTAGATTAAATCATCTCTTTTAAAGGCTTAAAAGAGCCTTTTGTTTTTCCTCTTTCATTCCAAGCATAAGAAATTGCAAAGAATTGTGGACATTTGCATATTGTGTGTATGCACATTGGAACGCACCTGTCTACCTTATTTTGCAATGTAAATGAAAGGCTATACACATCTACCTATCATTTAGGTCTACACATGAGACATATTATGGAAAAATCACTTGTATAAGGGGTTGAAACAGCTGTGTGGCAACAGGTAATTTTTCTAATGGGAATGTATTTTTTTATAATCCTACTTTTAAAAAAAACAGTATGTAGAAACACTATTATTGTCAATCTCTCTTTGTAGAGTACGTATCATCAGAGGAGGAAAGCCCCACCCATTAGTGACAAGTTCTCCCTCGATAGCATAGAAAGCATTAAGCGAGAAGCAGCCATCCGCCATTATTTTACACCGCACCTGACTGGTGAAGATAATGTCAGTGACTAACAGAATTATGAATGTTTTAGGATGCTCAAATGAACATAAATGAATGAATCTCCATAGACTGCCTTCTTCTAAGACAAATATTTGACATTTTGTTTAGCTTTTTAATTAATCTTTTCATAATTTTAACACTTTTACAATATAGACTGTCAAAGCATCTTAACGTAGATGAAGTTCTAGTAATTTAAAACTGCATTAGTCCAGTTTTCACAGTTGAAGTTCAGTTCAGTTCACTGTAATGTAAATGTCACTACTGAAAGCCAAAACACTGAAGAGCAAATCAAACGATGCATAGATGAACATATCCAAAACCACGCAAGAAAGTGGCGAGGAACAAACTTCACCAATTGAAGAAAGTGAAGGGAAAAAAAAACCTTAGAAAAAAACAGGTTCAGTCTCTGGATGCAGACTTGGACTTGCAAGCTGAAACTGCAAGTGTGAGAGATGCAATGTCAGACGTCACTGTGAGGGGTAGGGTTACGGATGGGGTTAGGTGTGGGCATAAAAAGGACTGTATGCAGTTCAGATTACAACTGCGCCAAGTCTGCATCCAGACCCCTCTTGGCTTAGCTGGAAACAACCAGTTCTCTGAGCAAAATTCTTATGCAGAGTTACAGTCTATACGCCGGAGACTTGAACATGCTGGACGTGAGAAGCTGCAAGTCACCGGCGGGTTTACAGATGAGCCCACAAGATCAATGTAGAGTCTCGTCTGTTGCTAGGGTCTATTCAGGAATTTGTCACACACTCTTCACTTTTACATGACCACACAGGATCTGCTCAGGATTTGAGCCGGTATCAGGATTATTTAAATCTCAGGATAAGGAGAAACAGACTAGCATAAGCATAGATGCCATTCAAAATATAATGTCTTTTGGGTAGTGTCCCTGTCATTGGTTGCCCTTATTAATACAGCCTAACTATCCTTTAGAGCATTTTGGATTTCAGAAGTTTTATTTCAGAAGAATGTGTTTTATGTGTATGCTAATGCAAAGAGATGTGTCTTAATCAGAGTCTGTCCACCTCCCAAACTATATATAAGCATAAGATAATTTCTACAGAACATTATTAGACTTTAGCATTAAGCCATGGTCACGCTAGATTTTGAACATGAGTAATTCTGTCATATGATGCTGCAGAAAGGGGTGGGATTAAATAAGATACAGAAGAAAAAAGAAACATTTCATTGAGCCATTTTAATTCTGGCACAGATTTGGTGCAAACCCAACACCCTGTTCCTCTCTATGCACCACATGAAATGATTGCTCATAAGCTGTCCACTTCTGTTTGCCAGAATTATGCTACAAGTAAGCCAAAGGAAAGCCAACTGTCAGCCATGAACAAACTAAATAAACCACACAGGGCTAAGCCTGGCCCATTTTTTAAAATCCTGGCCCAGATACAACACCCTGCTCCAGCCCACATACTGCACTGGATGATGGCACTTGAAACGAGGTGTTTCTGCGTGTCAGATTTGATCCACAAAATGCATTAACCACAACTAGGACAAATCTTCATTTTAATTCTGGCCCAGATCAAGCCCAGACCCAACACCCTGCTCAGGCCCACATACTGAGTGGAACACTGGCTCTTGGGCAGGCCACTTTTGTTTGCCAAATTTGTGCCACAAGCAAGGAACACCAACTGCCAGCCATAAATTAAACCATCAACTGGCCCAAATATGGGCCACATTTATTTAAATTCTGGCACGGATCCAACATGCTGCTCTGACAAACAAAACATTGCAGTTATGCTGTGTGCTACAGTTTTGCCAGATTTGGGCCTAAAATAAGTCTTACTATTGTAAGTAAACTAATCAAATCAAACAAAAGCTGTCTCTACTGTAGCCCAGGCAATCTTTATTCTAACCTAAAAAGTTATTGTGGCACAGATCTGGCAAATAGAGGCAGACTGCAAAAATTGCTATTATTTCACGCTGTGCCAGATCAAAAATAAAAGTGTAGTTTATTCGTTTTATTTATGGTTGACTTTCTGCCTTCCCTTGTCTTACTTGTGGCACAAATCTGGCAAACAGGAGCAGACTGCTCATGTTTCATCATTCCTCATAATATGTGGGTCAGATGAATACATTTGATGGCCTGATCTAGGTCTATGGAATTCTGGTATCTGGCAAGCTGTGTCCAGTTTTTGAAAATGACTGCACACATTTAAATGTATGACAGCCAATCAGAATAATTCAATGCTCACTTTGGTATGCCAAATTGCTAATAATTGCAATACTGGAAACAGTTTCATATTAAATATATCAAATTATGATTATCCCAACCAAAATATTTGATTTCTGAAAGTAAAATAAGGACATCTGTCTCCCTCAACTGGTGAGAAGCTGAAAAACGCAAGCATAAACATGTATACTGAATAATTGACTTTATACTGTTGCAAACTGCAAACAGTATCAGCCCTACATCCTACTAGGAAGCTTATGTTATCCCATTAAATGTTGTCAGATAAAAAAATGTAAATTTGATGGGAGATTAGTAAGGTGTTTGTAGATAAGCCACCCGCCAGCCACAATAAAGGGTTGTGCCAGAATGTGCCAAAACCTGTTTAGTGCCACACCAATGATTTTTTTATGGTGTGCCTGAGGAGATGATTATTGTGCTCTTCTGTGAAAACTGATTGACTCGATTGATTAGGTAATGACAAATGTGGTTTACACCTATAATTACTGCCAGAATATATAAGCTAAATGCAATAGATTAGAAAAAAAGTATATTTTGTAGGCACTGCTTTCCAACTTTCATTTAATTCAAATTGTGCATTCATTCCCTTATGTTTCTACAACTGTTGTCTGTACTGTACATAGTACATTGACCTATGGGGATTAATTCTATGTGGGAGCACATGAGCATGTGGACTTTATACCAAATTACTCAATCCAGGGGCCAGGTCAGCACTGACAATTCGCATTAAAATGAAGTCCAACTGAAGTAGGAAGAAGTAAAGTGCATTTTTTCTGCAATTTAACTGCAAGGTACAGCAGCTATTTTAGTCTAGTATGCCAAGTGTACTGAACTGCACTTGTGTTTCAAGGGATTATTTATTCATCTTCCAACAATAATTTGAGGTTTTTTTTAAACAGATAACTCTATTTTTATAGTCATTTTAAAATCCATTTTTAATGTTGTGTATTAAGTACAAAAAATGTGTTTTAATAACATTTAGCATTTTTAATATTGTGTATTTACAATGTCAAAAAATGATGTATAGAAGTTCTAAAAATTAGTTATCTGCTTTTGCAGATGAACTCTCCTTTTCCTCCTTGCATCCTCTTCAAATTACAAAGTTTTGAATGTTGTAATAATCAATAAAAGAAGACCATAATTTAAAAATGTAACATCACAACCAATAAGGTGCAGACTGTGGACTAACACAGGAAATCTCACTGTCTGTAGCAAAAGAAGCAGATGTGGCATACAGCTAGAAAAAGCACCTCTACACCTCTATAAACCTAGAAAAAGTTCTCTATACATGCATCCAAATTCAGCTAAGCACTTGGATGGATGTGAAAAGCATAAGGGTCAGCTAAACCCTTTGATTGATGCAAACACAAGTTACTGATCAATTTATAAGAGTCAAAAGCTTGATAAAAACAGGAATAGTTGAATGTGTAAGAAGACATATTTAATAATACACTGGTTATACATTGTGTGGCGACCCCTGATAAATCAGACTAAGCGAAGGAAAATTAATAAATGAATAATTATACATTTGATAATCACATTTAAACTTTCGAAATTTGACTCATCAAACAGTATTTTCCCACAGGTCTTCTGATCTAAGAAGATTACTTAACCAGAACTGAATTCCTTTTATCAATTCAGAATCAGTTATTTATGTGAAAGACGGTAATATATACGTAAAAGTTTGTAGTAATTTTACATTAAGAAAGCTAAACATGAAAGGTATTAATAATAATAATTATTAGGCTGGCTTGAGAAACAAGCCAGACTACTGAAATCCTATTTAAACTTATTATTTTTTTTATATATTATTCTTCTTCTTCTGAGACTAAAATTCAAAATCTATCTCCTCCTAGAGCTTTCGAGCTATGACCACCAAACTCACACCAGACCTCCAAACTATTCTGACTCGGTATGCCATATCTTTTCCGACTGATCCGACTTTCGATTTTCCGAAAAACGTCCCGGGACCGTCGGAAAAATCCCATAGACTTAACATTGGACTAAACTTTGTGAGCTCATAACTCTGCATCAGACTGTCACACAGACTTCTAA